CTCCCTCGCTCGCTCCCTCGCTCGCTCCCTCGCTCGCTCCCTCGCTCCCTCCTTTGCTCCCTCCCTCGCTCGCTCCCTCCTTTGCTCCCTCCCTCGCTCACTCCCTCCTTTGCTCCCTCCCTCGCTCGCTCCCTCCCTCAGACTAGGCTCAAGTCTCCTGACATTTCTCCATCTGAACCCCTTTCCTGTGTATCCTGGGGGCCCACATTGTGCCACTCCTTCCGATGTCCCCGCTCCTCTTGCATCGGAGCAAATCTCCAGTCAGTGGTGTGAGAAGGAGGTTGATTAATGACAGTGAAGTTTTGGGGAAATTATTAAAATTTTGAGAGCTTTCAGCAGCATTCTGTTTGAGAATGGGGTGACTGTTCGTGAATGTGTACTGTCATACCTCCTAGACATGGCATTGTTAGCAAACAGCCTTTTGCACAGCAAATCTGAGTAGGTATAACTTTTTGGAAGAGTCTCTTGTCTTTTTAAGCAATAGGTCAAATAAGCATTTCCAGGAGTTCACATGGTTTTGATTTTCTCATCAATCTGCTCAGATGTGTTTTTACACAGTTGGAACTTGCACCCAGGTCTGCAGTTCAGAGGTACAGGCACTGCCACTTGACCACAAAAGCCCCATTTGGATGCTTTAAGCTAGATTCCACCAAGCAAGCCACCTGGGGAGGTAACAATTACGGTTACATGCCCCGGAAGGGCAAGGTCAGAAATCACACGACACCAGGTTATAGTCCAACAGGTGTATTTAAAATCACAAGCTCTCAGAGCTTCACCTGACAAAGGAGCAGCGCTCAAAAAGCTTGTGTTTTTAAATAAACCTGTTAGACTGTAAACTGATGTTGTCTGTCTTTGTCCACCCCAGTCCAACACCGGCCCGTCGCCATCCCAGAGAGGTTTCATTAACTGGTCCCGTTCAGTGAGAGAGGCTGCATACCAGCAGAAGGCCTGTCTGTTTTTGGCAGTCTCCAGGCCATCAGAGCTGGAAAGAAGTCATCAGCAGTTTTGGCCCCTGAGCCCCTTGTACAGTTCACTGAGGAATTGTTAGTGCGTTAGCTGGTCTGGGGGCTGGTTACAGTATGTAGAGAGAAACGTACCACATGTGAAAAGATTGAGAACCAGAGCCACAATATTAAACCCCACACAGTGGTTCACATCTGGAATGCACTGTCTGCAAATGTGGTGGAGGCAGGTTCGGTTGAGGCACTTAAGAGGGGCATCATGTGATTGTTCAAAAATAAATAATATGCAAGGTTATGGGGAAAAAGAAAGAGATTAGCTGTCCATTTAAGTGCTTCCAGGACAAGTGTAGACTTGGTGGAGCAAATGGCCTGTTTCTGTAGCAGAATGACTCTGTGACTGGAAATCACTGTTGGTGAATGTGCAGAAAGTCCCCACCCAGGCGGAAACATTACCATGAATTCCTGGTGTCAAAGTGAAGACCTGATTGCTCATTTATTCTTTGCAAGCGCTTGTGGGGCAGTGGTAGTGTCCCTACCTCTGAATCGGGTGTCTTGGGTTCAAGTCCCACCCCCTCCAGAGGTCTGTGATAACGTCTCTGAGCTGGTTGATTAGAAACTCCTCAGGAATGGACTGACATGATTAAAAGCCTAAATAAAAACCAAAAGAACTGCGGATGCTGTAAATCAGGAACAAAAACAAAGTTGCTAGAAAAGCTCAGCAGGTCTGGCAGCATCTGTGAAGGAGAAAACGCAGTTAACATTTCGCATCCAGTGACCCTTCCTCAGGTAGCTTTACAGCTGAGTAGCTGTAAAGAATGTTGCTGGGAGGAAAAGGGCTGTATCTTTTTCCTGTTCATAATGAGTTCCTTCCATACTATATCTGTCTTTTGTGTAATGAAAATACTTTATTTAAACCTGTTTCAAGTACATCAACAGCCTCTTGTGAATTTGTTCCAAGGCAACAAAACTAAAACTTAAGGTCTATCAAACCAGCTTTCAGTCTAGGATCTGACTTGTACAGTTTTAGAAATCTGCTTGGATGTAAACTCTCTATTTCTGTCTGTCGTCCTGATCCCTCCCCCTTCCCCCTCACAGGGTAACCCAGCCCGATGGAGGGACTTCCACTCAGCCACAGTCGTGGGGAGCCGGATGTATGTTTTTGGAGGCCGGGCAGATCGTTTTGGGCCGTTCCATTCCAATAACGAGATCTACTGCAACCGCATCAAAGTGTTTGATACCGAGACCAATCACTGGCTGGATTCCCCGAGCACACAGCTCCTTCCTGAGGGCCGAAGGAGCCACTCAGCATGTAGGTCCCTCACTGGGGTTGTGGCTACCTCTCAGAATAGGCACTGGGGCTACACAGAAACCTCACAGTGTCATTGGTGATCACACACCACCAGCTGTTACCGGTCTGTGTGCACAGAAAGCCCCCTTACAGGGACCAGACTGTGTCCATCTCCAACAGGACCGTCCCCCACCATCTCCCCATCTCCAACAGGACCGTCCCCCACCGTCTCCCCATCTCCAACAGGATGACAGTCCACCACCAGAGCGCCGCACTGTCGGAGGGTCAGCACTGAGGGAGCGCCGCGCTGTCGGGGGGCCATACCTGAATTTTCTCATCTCCGGGATCATACTTGTGACCGTTCCCTGCAATTATTTCTCCTCCCTGATCCCAGAACTAGCATGAGTTTACTGGGAGCAGTGGGAATAAACACTGTGTTGTCCTCTAACCTTCCTGTTCTGTTCTGGCAGTTACCTACAACAGTGAGCTGTACATTTTTGGTGGTTATAATGCTCGCCTAGACCGACACTTTAATGACCTGTGGAAGTACAGTCCTGGTAAGTGAATCCATTCCTCTCTGACTTCCCAAGCTGTTGTCCTGTTTTTTTTTCAGCCTGTGCTTGTTTCCTCCCATTTCCAGATTTCGATCCTTCATGTTCATCCATGAAATATCAGCATCTCTGGCTGGGCCCAGTAGTTATTGCCCCGTCCCTAGTTGCCCCTTGAGAAGGTGGGGGTGAGCTACCTTCCTGACCTGCTGCAGTCCATGTGCTGTGGGTTGACCCACAGGGAGAGAATTCCAGGATTTTCACCTGGTGATACTGGAGGAACGGTGACTTTTTTTTAAAATTCATTCATGGTCACTGGCCCCAAATTTATTGCCCATCCCTAATTGCCCAGAGGGTAGGTAAGACTCCCCCACAGTGCTGTGGGTCTGGAGTAACATGTTGGCCAGACCAAGTAAGGTGATGCTGATGGTGACCCAAATGGGGTTTTTCTCCTATAATTGACAATAAATTCATCATTAGATTCTTAATTACAGATATTTATTGAATTCAAATTCCACCATATGCCATGGCGGGATTCGAACCCCAGTCCCCAGAACATTAGCTGGGTTTTTGGATTGACAGTCCAGCGATAATACCACTAGGCCATTGCCTCCCCTTATTCCCGAGGCAGGATGGGTTTGGAAGGTGCTGTCTGAGGATCTTTGGTGAGTTGCTGCAGTGAATCTTGTAGGTAGTACACACTGCTGCTCCTGAGCGTCGGTGGTGGATGTTACCGTGTGTGAAGTGTTTATAGTTTTTACACACGGAGCCAATGTTTGTCTTTCTGCACAGATGACCGTTTCTAAATGGACGTCCATGCTGCACCCCACCCTGCCCCAGGAGCTGGTGAACCACCATCTCAGGCAGTGCAGATACCATCTGTACAATAAACCTTCACATATGGAGCAGGTCTCGGCCATTCGGCCCCTTAAGCCTGTTCCAGAACTTGGTGCAACTGGGTTGTGACTTTTAACTTTCCCGTCTGTCCCTGTTGTGTGGTTCAATTGAAAATATCGCCATGGAAATGATGTGGAGGTTCTGAGGAAGGGTCACCGGACCCGAAACGTTAACTCTGTTTTCTCCTCCACAGATGCTGCCAGACCTGCTGAGCTTTTCCAGTAACTTTGTTTTTGTTCCTGATTTACAGCATCCGCAGTTCTTTTGGTTTTTTTTGGAGGTACCAGTGTTGGGCTGGGCCATGAAAACGTTCAAAGACCCAGTCTCCACTGGTAGAGGATTAAAGGCTGAAAGGACAAAGCTCTCTCATCCCTGCTTTAAGTGGCAGACTTCTCATTGTTTAAAGTCTGGTCACACCCCGCTTCCCCAACAATTTCTTCCTAGTTTCAGGAAAATCACCTCTCGTTCCCCTTACCCTTGCAGGATATAGCTCTGACCTGGGCAACATCAAATAATTTTCTCATCAAATAAGCCCCTTATCACAGCAACCATTCAAGTGAATCTTCTCTGAGCTACAAGCAGATTTTTTTCCCTTTATTCATTAATGGGATGAGGGTGTCGCTGGTTAGGCAGCATTTATTGCCCATCCCTAATTGCCCAGAGGGCAGTTAAGAGTCGACCACATTGCTGTGGATCTGGAGTCACATGTAGGCCAGACCAGGTAAGGATGGCAGTTTCCTTCCCTAAAGGGCATTAGTGAACCAGATGGGTTTTTCCTGACAATCAACAATGGATTCACAGTCATCATTAGACTCTTAATTCCAGATATTTATTGAATTCAAATTCCACCGTCTGCCGTGGCAGGATTCGAACCCCAGTCCCCAGAATATTATCTGGGTCTCTGGGTTAACAGTCCAGTGATAATACCACTAGGCCATCACCTCCCCTCTAACATCGTTTCACTGTATACTGTATTCCAGATGAGATCTCACCAACACTCCCCACACCTGTCCCGAACCATCCTGCCTTTTATACTCCATTCCCCGTCACAGTAAATACCATCTCCTCTTATACCTACATACCCGCTTCGTGTCCCAGGGCACCCAGAGTGCAGCTGTACTGTGTGCTTTTAACAGTCTCTCTCCAGTTTAATGGTTTGTTCTTCCTGTTGAAGTGGGCAAGTTCACATTCTCCCACATTATACTCACCTGCAACATTTTTACTCACTCGCTTCACTATCCTACATCTATTGGCAGACTCAGTGAATCCTCTTCATAACTTACTTCCCAGCATCAGCACGTTCCTGACCATGTCCACATTATTGAAGAGGATTGTCAGTAATCAATCTCCCTACACCGATCCCTTTGGTATACCACACAATCTGAAATGGACCCACTTACTATCTGCTTTCTGTTGGTTAATGTACCCTCTATCTGTGCTATAATCCCCTTACACCATGTGCCGTTACTGTGACTGTGGGGTGGATCCCATTCAAGCCAGGCCTGTCTGTAGGGAGATTCACATAGAGAGAGATTGATAACTCAACTCAGCCAGTCTCCCTTGATTGGTGCCCCAGTTTTTATTGTTGTGATGTATAAGAAAACTGTACAAACTACTGTTTTAACCTGCTATCTGCAGTTTGGAATGTTTCCTTTCTCTCCCCAATCCTTCTGATCCCCTCCCCCAGCCCAAATCTAAGGGTCTAGGCCCGAAGCGTCAGCCTTCCTGCTCCTCTGATGCTGCTTGGCCTGCTGTGTTCATCCAGCTCTACACCTTGTTATCTCTATTGTCTGAACTTCAGTTTCTGAGCAGAAGCCTGGGTAAATATTAAATCTTCTCCAAGTTGAGAGGAAAGATTGTTTGTTTGTTTGCAGTCTGAAGTCACACGATACCAGGATATAGTCCAACAGGTTTATTTGGAATCACACCAAGCTTTTTGGAGCGCTGCTCCTTTGCCAGGTGCAGTTAGCAGTGTGGCCAGCAGGTGGTAGTGTCCGTCAGTGGATGGGTGTGGGCATTCAGTGACATTGTCCAGCTGATCACCTGCTTCCTTTTCAGAGTCCTCAACGTGGAGGAAGGTCGAGCCTAAGGGCAAGGGGCCATGCCCGCGAAGGAGGCAGTGCTGCTGTATGGTGGGAGACAAGATCATCCTGTTTGGTGGCACCAGGTCAGTATGAGCTGGTGTCCTGTGGTGTCTGTCACTCACTGGTATATAGGCACCTCCAGTAGTGCAGGGGGAAACTATACACTTAGTAGAGACATACAAGATGATCAGAGGATTAGGTAGGGTGGACAGTGGGAGCCTTTTTCCTCGGATGGTGATGGCTAGCACGAGGGGACATAGCT